CTTCTCTTCTTCTTCTTCTTCTTCTTCTTCTTCTTCTTCTTCTTCTTCTTCTTCTTCTTCTTCTTCTCCTCCTCCTCTTCCTCCTCCTCCTCCTCCTCCTCCTCCTCCTCCTCCTCCTCCTCCTTCTTCTTCTTCTTCTTCTTATTATTATTATTATTATTATTATTATTATTATTATTATTATTATACATTTCTATGGTATTGAAGCTGTCTGCCAATCTTCTGCAGATAATTAACCAGTGGAACAACCTGCCTCCAGAAGCTGTGAATGCTCCAACACTGGAAGTTTTTAAGAAGAGACTGGACAGCCTATGGTATAGGGCCGTGGTGGCAAACCTATGGCACGGGTGCCACAGGCGGCACGCGGAGCCATCCCTGTGGGCACACGCGCCATCGCCCCAGAGGGAGGCCGGGCCAGGCTGCTCCCCTCCGCGCCTCCACGTGCGCTCTTGCTCTCTCTTGGCCGTGGGGGGCGCGAAATCGCTCTGGAGGCATAGATCCGGGCGGCAGAGGCCATGCCCACCCAGCGTAAGTGGGTTTTGGGTTGCAGTTCAGGCACTCGGTCTCTAAAAGGTTTGCCACCACTGGTATAGGGTTTCCTGCCTGAGCAGGGGGTTGGACTAGATGACCTCCAAGGTACCTTCCAACTTTATTATTATTATTGTTATTATTGTTATTATTGTTATTATTGTTGTTGTTGTTGTTGTTATTATTATTATTATTATTATTATTATTATTATTATTATTATTATTATTATTACTAGCTGTACCCAGCCACGCGTTGCTGTGGCTCAGTCTGGTAAAAGCGTGTGTTGCTTTTACGTCCAACAGATGGCGCTGTTTTTTAAAAACATGTTTTTACCTGTCACAGGTGTGACATCTATATAATATAGGTATATAAAAACGCGCGTATTCGAATGCAACGTTGTGTCAAAATTTCAAAGCAATTGGTGAAGAACCTTCGGAGATTTAAGATTTTGAACAAACGAACATTTACATTTTTATTTATATAGATGATGATGATGATGATGATGATTATTATTATTATTATTATTATTATTATTATTATCCCATCTGACCTCAACATCATCATCATCATCATCATCATCATCATCATCATCATCATAATAATAATAATAATAATAATAAAGTAGGAAGGGACCTTGGAGGTCATCTAGTCCAACCCCCTGCTCAGGCAGGAAATCCTGCCTATACCATTTCGGACAAATAAGGTTGATTCAAATTTTAAAAACAAAAACAAAAAAAACACCGATTTCTGGAATATTGCCTTGAATACAGCCAAAACTAAGTATATTTTGTTCAATGTTATTCCACACAGGGCAGGGGGAATTGAACCAAACTCTTTGCTTTCTCATTTTTTGTTCTCTGAGCAAAAATACAGCTGTAGTTATACCAAAGGCTACCTGCCAGCCAAGTTACGGAAAAATTGGCCAACAGGAATATTTTTTGTGCAGGTTACATTAAATTTTGTTGCTCCTGGTTTCGTTCAAATTTTAAAGCTAAAAAGACATAAAAGAAATGAACTTTAACTGACATTAAAACTCAAAAGGAAAGAAATTGTTACTGCTGCAATATTCTGTGCCAGTGAAATAGTTCCACGGGCGCTTAGTTTTGCAGGACTTCCTAAGTAGATTTTTCCACCTGTATAATTATGTCTTTCTTCTCCCTTAGGAGTCTGGAAATATTGGGAGCAGGTAAGAATTGGAGGTGGTTTTTTTTTTAATCGCTTTGTTTGTGGCATTTCTGCCGGGTTTTCTGTCAGGGGCTAAGAATTAGGATGCTGCCTGTTTAAATGTCGTAGCTTTCCTTGCCAGTTTTGGATGGGGGTGATGTTTCCTTCTTGGCAGAAGGAGGAAGAGGAAGAAAGAAACTACACATAGTCCTCAATTTACAACCATTCATTTAGCGCAGAGGTGGGCCACCTTGGCCCTTTTATGACTTGTGGACTTCAACCCCCAGAATTCCTGAGCCAGCCACGCTGAGGGGAAAGGGAGAGGTTTCCAAGCTGAGCCAGGCTGGCTCAGGAATTCTGGGAGTTGAAGTCCACGAGTCATAAAAGAGCCGAGGTTGCCTACCCCTGACCTATACCATCTCAGACAAGTGACTGTCTGGTCCAGGGTTGGGCAACCTTGGCTCTTTTATGACTCGTGGACNTTATCTTATTAGGTCATGCGAATGGTGCATCTTTTATTGCATTTTATTGCAGTCAGACCTCTTGGGCATATTTCATGGAAATGAAAAAGATAAAAATTTAAGAAATCAATCTTGCCTTCTTACAGATGTCTGAAATGGTATAGGGCAGTGATGGCGAACCTTTTAGAGACCGAGTGCCCAAAGTGCAACCCAAAACCCATTTATGTATCGCCGAGTGCCGGGTGGGCGCGGCCCATTGGGTGGGTGTGGCTGCAGTGGTAACGGCAGACTGGGTGGGACTAAAAAGTTCAATCAATTCCAACTTTGCGAGATCTTTTTTTTTCCCACGAGAAGTTGAAATTGGTTGATTGAACCTTTTTTTTTTTTTTTTTGCACATGGCAGCGGAGGCCTAAAACGAAAAGGTTTTATAAAACCCAGCTGAAGGCCTAGGACTGGGGTGATGGTGCACGTGCCCACAGAGAGGGCTCTCCATGCCACCTGTGGCACGTGTGCCATAGGTTCGCCATTACGGGTATAGGGTTTCCTGCCTGAGCAGGGGGTTGAACTAGATGACCTACAAGGTCCCTTCCAACTTCTTCTTCTTCTTCTTCTTCTTCTTCTTCTTCTTCTTCTTCTTCTTCTTCTTCTTCTTCTTCTTCTTCTTCTTCTTCTTCTTCTTCTTCTTCTTCTTCTTCTTCTTATTATTATTATTATTATTATTATTATTATTATTATTATTATTATTATTATTATTATTATTATTATTATTATTATGGATCATCGCACAGTCAGCCAGATGTTCAGACTGGATTTGGCATTTTGTCTACCTATCGAGTCCTTACCCAGGACCTGGGATAGGCAGATGTGGATGTTTGATGGTATTACAGATATATTATTATTATTATTATTATTATTATTATTATTATTATTATTATTATTATTATTATTATTATTATTATTATTATTATTATTATTATTATTATCTGGGTCCTCATTTTACCGACCTCGGAAGGATGGAAGGCTGAGTCAACCTTGAGCCAGTGAGAATCGAACTGCCGAACTGCTGGCAGCAGCAGTAGCCTACACAGTACTGCCTTCTAACCACTGCTCCACCACAGCTCAAGGTTTACAACGGATCTTGCCAACAAACAGTGCTTTTTTTTTGCACTGCTCATTTTAAGTGGCAAGTAATACTGGGCATGGCCTCCTTCCCCCCCCCCCCCCCCCCCCCCCCCCCCCCCCAGCTTTAGAGCCCAGTGCAGCTTTTTACATCCCAGATTATTCTCTGCCCCAATCTTGAAAAGAGCAAATCTTTTGCATCCACTCTTTTTGGAAAAGAGGCACAGATCAGCAATTGCATGAAGACAATCTTTGATCCCAATAAGAAGTCACCTTAATGGGAAAACTGGCCACTTAGGCCAGAGATAATCATTGAATAATTTCCGAACGTTGGGATTGGATCACACGCTCAAATGAGTTTTACTGAATGAATCGCCATGACTTGAGTGTGCACACAGCCGTAAACCGTGGTTTATGAGGCCTAAGGGCTGGATTTGCTGCTTGTACAAAGCCAGTTCAAACAAACCACGTTATTGGTGTCCACGATGCCAAACAGGGTTGTATTTACAATTTGGTTTTATTCAGCTGAATAGAAGCGTTTAATTTTATTTACTGGAATAGTCAAGTTAAAAAATGGCTGTGCTGGGAAAGCAAAATTCAAACGGCATCCTTCGCTCAGTACAAAAACTTGAAATGGGGAAAGAACTGTAGAATAAACCATCGATAGATGCGTTAGAACAGTGGTTCTCAACCTTTTTAATGCCGCGACCCCCAACCGGTCGTAAGTCGAGGACTAAACCGGTCGTAAGTCGAGGACTAAACCGGTTGTAAGTCGAGGACTACCCAACCGGTCGTAAGTCGAGGACTTTCCCTGCCCGGGAGCACCGCACATGCGTGGTTCCACCCCCTGCGCCGGCCAAGGCGTAGCTGGCAAGCGGCAGAGACGGAGCAAGCCGACCACCAGCTGGCCCAGCCCAAGGGAGGTAAGGCACCCGCCGGAAAAGGGGGAAAAAATGGCGGACAGCCTTGCTTGGTGACCCCCGTGAAATGGACGATCAACCCCAAATGGGGTCACGACCCATAGGTTGAGAACCGCTGCGTTAGAAGAAAAAGAGGAAAGAAGCACCGCCTGGATCTAAATGCCAAAACCTACAACGTAAAGTTTACAGAAGCTGAAATATTTCTTGCAATCCTCCTGGGATTTATTTATTTTTTTCCTTTCTTTAGGACAGTCTCGTAAACCTTAGCAAAGAAAGGGAGAACGAGGGACACAATTGTCAGGAGGTGAAAGACAGCGAGAAAAAGATAACGGAAGATAACAAGAATCGGGGCTCCCCACCGCCCAAGGATGATTCACAGGTAGGAATCATGGTCCCATTTCCCTCACCCTCACCCTCCCCCCTCCCCACCCGATCCCGCACTGTTGTGTGATCCACTTTAGGAAGTGGTGAGCGCAAAAGTTCCGGAGATACACTCAGAAGAGTTGTCAAAAAAGGTTGGCCAAAAAATGTCATAAAATCAGGTGGCCTTACCTACGACTGTAATTAATGTCATGTCATGTAATTCCAGGCTCAGTTATGGTTGTAAGTCAAGGACCCCTTTGTTAGGCAATGGTTTTTAGAGCTTGAAATGGTTTAATCAGGATTTAATTTGAGAAGCCTTTATACTGATTTTCTTCTCTCTTCCCCTTTCCTTTCTTTGTTCCTTTTCCTTCCCGCCTCCCTCCCTCCCTCCTTTCATTGCTACTAAAAGCTAATAGAGTAGAATAAGGAAGTCTGAAAGAGCTTTTTCTTGAAACCAAGACACTATGGCCAAAATCGGTGGATGGTTTTATTTCTTTGCCTAGCATAAGTTTTCTTTCCCGAAATTGAGTGAGTGAGTGAGTGAGTGAAAAATGTTGCCTGGATGTCTTTAAGCAGAAACCAATTATTGTTTCAGTTGGGGGATGGAAAACTGGAAACGGAGAAAGTCCTCGTGGTTTCTATTAATACAGTTTTATTCCATGGAAGGTGCAGCCTGATTCGGAAATGATTGACCTGAGCAACATGAAAGAAGGCAAAGAGGAAGAGGG